AGAAAACAGAAAATTTTTGTTTTAATTGATATTTTCATTTTAATGGCTGCAAGAAGGTTTTCATCATTACTCTAATTAAGGAATATTCTAAAGAATTGATCAAATTTTTTTAAAAATGCAAAAAGAACATTTTGATTGATATTAAGAAGGTTATCACCATGGCAAAATAAAAGTGACAAAAAATTGTTACAGGAAAATCTCAGACAACCTGAATATATCATTTACTACCCTTAGTTCATTCATTGCAAGGTATAAAAATCTTAAAACTGTTGAAAACCAAAAGAACAGGTGTTCCACAGAAGAGTTCAAGATCTTCAAGGAAATTAATGCGGCAAATTAAACAAAATCTAAATGGTTACTCCTCAAGAATGGCAGGATGATTTGCTTTCATCAGGAATCTGTGTCCCTAAACAGACAATAAGCAATGAAATTCATATGAACGATCTAAAGTCATGCTCCTCTTTGGAAACTCCACTCCTGTTAAAAAAAGATACAGAGATCCCAAGTTGAAATTTGTTTGTGAACATAAGCATAAAGAAAAATCATATTGGGAAAGAGCATCATGGACAGACGAAACCAAAATTTTGGACGCAGGTCTAAAAATCATGTATGGAGGAAAGATGACAACACCTTCAAACAAAAGAACACTATACCAACAGTGAAATTTGGTGGTGGCATCATCATGGTTTGGGGATATTTTTCGGGAACAATATCAGTAATAGATGATAGAATGAATGCTGCAGCATATCAAAATATTTTGGAAGCAAATTTAATGATTTCAGTTGAAAATCTTTAACTTCCTCCTGATTTGATTTTCCAAAATGATAATGATCCTAAGCACACTGCAAAAAATCTACGAAAAATGGCTACTGAAAATAATGTAAATATCCTGAAATGGAAAATAATGCCCCCAGATTTAAACCCAATTGAGAATCTGTGGCATTGTTTGAAAATTCAAATCTAATCGAGAACCCCAACAAACATTTCAGATCTGAAGACCATATGCAAAGAAGAATGGAACAAAATACTGACTAAAATTTGCTAATCATAAATTGAGGACAAGAAGAGGTTGGTTGCTGTAGAAGTGAATAATGGCTATTCTACAAAGTATTAAATGAAGATTATGTATTTTTTTTTTATTGTACGAATATTTTTTTCACCCATTAAAATGGATAAATGGGATTTATTTCTATTAAATCAATTTTTTTTTTTTTTATATGCATATTTATATATATATATATATATATATATATTAATTATATGAATGGATATGTTTATTCATTAGTTACACAAAAATAAATAAATTAAAAATATTAATGTGTACGAAATTTATTTAAAAAAACATCACCATTGGCTTATAACCATATATATATAGACGATATTATAATCTCCTGCAATCAAAACAAATTTCACCTTGTTTAAGTTGGTCAATGCTGCCATAATTTTGCCTTCAGTTCATCATTGATGTTACAAGAAGTTTTGTTGATCTCACACTGCCCCAGATTTAATAATCAACAGGGTTTCAGTCTGGGGAGTTAAATAAAAAGATGTAAGGATTGATGTGGTCAGAAATTGTCTGACAGCATTTTGAGCTAATTCTCTTGTTTTGTGTAGCATGGTGCAGAGTCCTGTTGCCAGACAAAGGGTAAAAGCATTTTGAAATTGAATAGGGCAGCATAATTGTGCCTCAAGGTACTTGATGTAGGCCTTCATGTTAAGTGTGAGAAGATGAATGGAGGCCTAACATTATCATAAGTGATCACTCCAAACACCTTTGTAATCACCATTAGACTCATCCAACTCTTTCCATATCCTCTGCACTGTCCTCAGATTGATACCCAAACACTGAAATCTTTGTATTGGAGCTCCTGGTGCAAATGCCAAGCAGCACAGCATGCCATTTACAAATTTCTGGCAGAATGAATTGCATCATTGTGGTCTTTTTCTCACAGATGGTGCCCAACTGATCCTAATATATTTTGATATTTACCTTTTCCAAAGATATTCCCACATAAGTTAATATAATGAATTTGACTAGAATTCGAACTTGGTTCTCCAATTTCACATTCTGAACCATTGTCTATTACATTACACCATACTTAAAATCTGGTTTTATATAAGTAGGAGTCTGTTAATATTAATGTGCATCCCTTTTGATATTTATTGCATTACTTACGAAAACTGCTTGTATTACCCCTTCAGAAATACACTGGTTTACTGTTTATGTCTTTTGCAATAACACTTTCTTTTTTCTAATTTTGTTTTACAGCATATAAATCTCAGTGGTTTAATGCCAACAAGATTTCTTAGCATAGGTTCACATGAATAGAATATGTATCCTTTGTAAGAAATCAGTTTCTAGAGCAAGTTTTATCAACATTTTTGTAAAAGAGTTGTTGGTATTTTTACAATAAAAATTAATTTTTATAATCTTTTGACCCCAGTTTTTTTTTTGTGGAAGGGGGGGGTGTAGCTATTTGCCCAGAACTGGGACCTCTAACAGGTGCTACCACACCAGGTCAGTGTGGATGTAGGAACAGCAATTAAGAAATGGCTCCTCAAAACTTCCAATCTCCTGATCTTGCTGCCAGATGTAGTTTACCGTCATATCCCAGGACAACCCTCTTATTTTGTATGCCTTATGTAAAGTGATAACAGAATAAAAATAAAAGGATATAATTTTAAATAATAATAAAAAAGAAAACAAAAACTGTTCAATAGTCAAAGTTACTTATAAAACTAGCAGAAAACATTCCACTATTTTCTTTTTTTAAAAACTAATGAAGAATAAAAATGTGATCAGGATTTAAAAAAATACTTAATGTTTTTCCTCAAAGGTGAAAGGTCAAGTAAAAAAAAGTTTGAAAATTAAAGGGTAAATAATGGATCTAAACAAAATTTAAAATCTATTCAGTAATAATATCAAAGGAGAGAGATTTTTCTTTTAAAGAAAGTGAAAGATTCCTCAAAATCTGAAAAAAAAAAAAAAAAAGTGTGTTTAAGTATGAAGATGATGGATGAATAATTTATGGAAATAGGGTAACTTTTTCAAATAAAATGAAATGATGAAAACAATTAAAATCAGATAGCCCTTCAAATAGTTATAAAAACAAAAAAAAACAAAAAAGAAAAAAAAAAACAAAAAGAAAAAAAAAATAGGAGAAAGTTTTTCAATATAAAGCTAAACTCCCTATAAAAATATTTTACAACAGTAACACTAACAGGCATTTTCATATCACTGAATGATTATTTCTGGTCCCAATGTCTGTTGTACAATTCAGTCAATCACTCTATATGATATATGGTGATTGGCCTATGTTCAGTGTCCCTTCAGGACATGAGCGATCATGGTTACCCACAGCTTCCTGAAAATGAATAGGTTTTCTTTTAATTTTTAAGACACTAAACTAAACTTAAGGAAAAAATTGCCCATAACAAAAATGTTGGGAGGAGGATTCAAAATCATAAAAAAAATAAATAAATAGATAAATAAATAAACAATAACTTCCTTTTTGGATTAAACGGTAAACGAAAACAAAAAACAGACAAAAAAAGCAAAGCAAAAAAAACCCCAAACAAACAAAAAACCAAAGATCAAAGCAATATGGTGTTTTTTAATTTGTGTTTTGGTTTTTACGGTATATATTTTAATAATTTAATTAGGCTTTGAAGATGATGTTGATTCACTATGTTTATAAATAAATTTGCTAATTTGCATAACGTCACAAAACTAAATTTAGAACTAAGACTGATAATTTTGTTCAATTTTTTATGAATTCTAAATAAATAAGCTGCATTTTCACCTATTCGAACCTGTACAATTCAATTTGAAATTTAAATAAATTTAAAGATGAAAAATTGTTTTAGATTCTTTTTGTAAAAAAAAAAAAAAATTAAAATAAGTAAAGTCGACAGAAAACCTCATTTAAACATTTAAAAAAAAAAAAAATCATAATATTCAACAATAAGAAAGTTTTGCTTTTTGTCGTCAGCAACATAGACTTAAACGTACAAATTTAATTTTTTTTGCAGTAAAAAAAAAAAAAAAAAAAAAATTAAAAGGGCTTAATCCAGGATTTGGTATTTTTTTCTTAAACAATGACGACATTTACGGTGTTTTTACCGAAATAAATGGATATCTTTTTAAAAGAGAAAAATCTGAACGATTCAAAATATGTGGAAAAGATTGAAAAGTTATAACAATGATAGATTTTAAAATTAAGAAATAAATTAAAAATAATAATTCGTATTTTTTTAACTCTTTTTTTTTTTACGGAGTTAGTTTTAAATTTTACATCCGTTATAAAAGTCAAAGCGAAAGTAAATTTCTGAGGAGAGAACAAATATTTCATCTGATTCATTTATATTTTATAAATTATTAAATAAATATACGATTCGAAAATCAACTATACAGCCAAGTGAAGCAACAAAAAATATTAACATTTAAATTTAAAAAGCTCTTAGCTTTTGAAATGTAAAAATGTTGCACTCAAATCAATCAATTTTCAAAACACGTACATGGATTTTTAATACACAAATTGGGAAAAAGATACATGAAAACAAAATAACGTCGAATTTCATAAAGAGGAAGCCAGATAATTTAATTATTTTAGAGATCAAGTGAATTAATCAAATGTATATGATGAGAAAGCAATTCATAATCAAACCATAAAAAGACAAATACAAAGCAAGTTCATATTCTCTCGGGTGAGAATCGATACTCGATATTGAAAAATGTAAAAATAAAATGGTTCTTTAGATTTAAAAAAATAAATAAAATGAATATTCCGGCGGAAGAAGTATAATCAAATATTAATAATAACGGAAAACAAATAAACATTCATTTTTTTTTTTTTTTTTTTTTTTTTACAAACCAAAACACGACTTTTTTCCTTAAACTTCCGACTAACACTGAGAAAGTTTTTTTAAAAAAAATAAAAAAATAAAAATGCACACACACACAGAACGTTGTATATAAAACAAAAACAAATTAAACTTACTTTTTCTGGTCTATAGGTGCCAAACGTTTATATATTTGGTTAGCTAATGTCGTATTTGTATGGCGAGGAAATTTACATTCCGCATCAACCATGAGGGGCAGACCCCAAAGTCCAAAAAGAAAAACTATAAAGGTATAAATGGCATATTTTGGAAAGAGGCCTCTGCTGTGGTTAGACCACCAAAACCTTCCGTCAGTAGCACTTTTCATGACCTAAGAAATAAGTAAAATATTCTATGAAAAAAAAAAATAAATAAAAAAATAAGTGTTACTGTAATTAAATACAAAAACAGTCCAACACACAAGTGGGGAAATACAGCGTGGCAAGCTCTCCACAAATGGAGATAACAAAGTTTCAAACCGAAATATCTAAAATGGTACACGACGTTTAAACAAAACTCAAAAGAGTCAAAAAGCGTTTTATATATATTTTTTATAGTTTCAAATTTTTCTGTGCTTTCCTATCTCGATTACCTTATTGAATTGTTAACTAATAAATTAAAATCTAATTTTAAAAAAATTATATAAACGTTTGATTTTAGGAGTTCTTTCATATATTGAAAAATTCTGCTAATATAACTGCATGCCATATGCAAGGTTTGGATAAAAAATACTTTGGAATGTAGTTATTATCAAAATTTTTATATAAAATTTTTACTGTGATTTGCCGCTGCATTAATAATTATATATATTTTTGTAGTGATTTTATAACATATTTATGCTATCATTTTCGAATAAATAATTATATTTGCTCTACTCTGTATTGAGCACTCTTTTAAGAATAGTATTTGTTGGTTATTGGAATTTATTGTGTATACACCAATCCTATACTTGTATATATATATATATATATATATATATATATATATATATATATATATATATATATATATATATGTGCATTTAGGCAGCAATCCTTTTCATGAACATTTCATTGAATACAACAGACAAGGTGCTTTTATTTAGTTTTTTATACAATTTCTCATGAGATCTAATAATTTTTTTCTTTTCAGATGATAAATTATATAAAAACTGTCCGGATTTTCCTTTTATCCGAGCGCTTTCGGCTATACATTTAGCTATTTTCAAGGATTAAATATTTTAAAACTGTTAAATAAGAAATAGTTTGTTGTATGTATGTTTTATAAAATGTTTTCATTTTTCAAAACACGGTCAAGACATTATGTTCATGTTCAAAGTTAATATTATTAAGTGTTGGTTTATATATATATATATATATATATATATAAACCAACATATAATGCAGATGTCAATATGTTGCAGTTGGGTGATAATTCAAAGAAAAAACTATAAACCTGGCAGAAAGTCAATTTACAACATTTGATAAAAATGACACAAAAGACTTCTTTCATATATAAATGGAAATATTAAATTTATATATATAGAAATATACAATCAAGTTGTGCTGCGATGAAATAATCAAAGAAAGTGTCCTTTGAAAAGTCTTTGTATTTTCCTTTTTTATATTGTTGCTTGCTGACAGGATAAAGTTTTTTTTTCACTATTTATGTTATTAGAGATATCGTTCAGAAATGTTTGTATGACAGTAAATTATTTTAGGAACTGTTTTCTGATTTTAAATGTTTTAGTCATAAGTTTGGATTTGTTTTTTTTCTTGTAAGTCAGCTTTGAATTCAAATGCTGTTCTTATATATAACAAATCAAATAAGAATTATTTATTATTTTTTTGTTGAAAGAAGTTATCTGTCTTTAACCGTGAGAAGAAATAGAATAAATTCAAGATTGAATTCAACAATGGTTAAAGTTTATATGTGAACTTAAATAAATTTGTTGTGACGATTGAATATATTTTCTTTGTGAAATGTGTCAGTATATTGGAATGGTTGTTATTGGAATGTGAGTGAGTGTGTGAGAAAAGGGTTTTTCATTACATTGATTTGTGGCGGACTTCACCACATTAATTTAACTTTAGATTAGGAAACAAGGCTCACACAAAAAAGGATAACCAAAAGACATTGTTACACATAAAATATGTATTTAACAAGATGTACAATATCAAGCAACAACTTGAAGGAAAGCATGCATTTAACTAAGAAAAGGTTGAATTAACCAAAACTTGTCTCTCTTTATCTGTTATTTTAGTGTTCAATGAGAAATAGTCATTTGGTTCAAAGTTCACTGGAAGAATGTTCATGAGAGTCTCTTGTAATGATTGTTCTTGAAAGATATTGCTGTGTAAGAAGAGTTTATGTGAGTGTGTACGAGGTATGTTCAGTATGTGAGTGGTGTGTGTGAGTGAGAAAGTTGGCGCATGGTTTCAACTGTCATGGATTCGTTTGGCAGTTGAATTCTCACAATATTTATTGTAAAATATTGGGATTAGAAAAATCTTGGCTTAAATAAGTTACTATAGGCTCCAAATCATTGCGGGGGAAAAATTATTCTTCACGTATAAACGATTTGATTGGTTGGCATCGACCAATCAGCAAGCAAGCTTTGGGGAGACTTAAGAAAGCTTCTGTGATCTGCTTCTCCTAAAAGTGCACAAAATTGACTACTTAAAAATAGAGCGATTACAGAATTGTCACATTATTGCGATTTGTAAATTGCCTGTAGTAATGTCGTGGTGATTTATTAACCAAAACCAATGAATGCTTTGCATTGTATGTGATTTGTATTTTTTATGTGTGTATGTTCGTGCGTAATAGATCTACCCAGATTACTATTTGTTATGTAGATTTCAGTGGCTGATGCTGCTTCTTTTGCAATGGATGTTGAATTTTCTGATTCAGTATTCATGAAAGGTTATTCAACTTTACTGTCTTTAGCTACAATTCTCATGAATAGTTTTGGTTTCTCTGCTGGAAGCTTCTGTTCGCACTAATGCAAGCTTCAGATCTCAAGATTCATTGCATAAAAATACATAATCGTGGCACAAAGCCAAAAAGTGGGGAATGAGGTTGAGGCTGGTAGTCACTTACTATCCTATACCGAGCTAATAAGATTCACGACCCATTCATTCGTTAAAATTGACACATTCACCATAAAAACCCATCCATCACCAATCAATCCTCCATATACCATAATACCGCATACTCTCAGGGGGGCCTACAAAACACACCCCATGACAGTTTCATGATTATAAAATACTATACATAAAAGTTTGTACATGATATAAAATGAGAGGAGAGGGGATTAACCCCCCAAAATAAACTAAGATATCAAAACAAACTAATTAAAGCTAACTGATGTTAGTTGGACCTTTAGCATCCCACTACCACTTCCTTATCAATGTTGAATTTTGTACAAATCTGTGCAAAAGTGGATCAAAGAGCTTACTCAGCTTCATACAGATTTTCAGGAAATATCAGCTTCGAATTGATCAATAAACACACAAGTGGGTGTTGCAATCCACCTATGTACAAATATTTTTCCAGCATGTGACCAAATCAAGTTTTCCCGCCATGTTCCTGGAACTGAATAAAGTCTTGCGACTAAGTAGCTGCGGGATGCTAATAACTCAAAAGAAAGTTCAACGTTGGCAAAACAAAATAAACGTCAAAAAGAAATGCACAAATGAAATTTAAAAGTTTGGCTAACAAAAAGAGACACAAAAATAAAAAAATAAACATGAAAATGTATTAAAACAAAAAATAAAAAATCAAAGTAACAAACTGAAAGTCAAAAATTCAAAAGCTTTCCCAAATAAGAGAAAGAAAAACGAAAAATAAAACAATTAACTTAACGTTAATTAAAAGTTCTTCTGTTTGGTTTCATGCTGTCCACTACCTGAATTGGAACAACTACATTGAATCTACCGTAAGGAAAGTTGGTTCTCTGTGTCGCACCAGAAGGTTTTTCTCACCTGAGTCCATCCTTCAAATCTACAAATCAACCATTTGTCTTTGCATGGAATACTGCTGCCATATATGGTCTGGTGCTCCTGCTATTCATCTCAAGGTCCTCAACAAAATCCAGAGACGGATATGCAATGTGGTTGGTCCTGATCTGGCATCCTGTCTGCAGTCGCTATCTCACAGACATGTTATAACTTTCCTCAGTCTTTTCTACAAGTACTTTAATGGCAACAGCTCTGATGAGCTACTTTCATTGGTTCCCAAACTGCACGGATTTAAGCGCACTACTAGGTTGGCATCTCAGTCCCACCCTTTCACTGTCAAAACGATTAAATGCACCCATCTCTTCTACTCCAACAGCTTCTTATCCCACACCTCCCGTCAATGGAACTCCCTTCCTATCACTTGCTTCCCTGATAGCTATAATCTTCAAATATTCAAATGTAATGTTAATCAACATCTGATCCCTTGACCTTGATTTCTGTCTTTCTCTTTATCCTTTTCTCAAAGTCTCCTCTTTACTCTCACCCACTGTAACCCCTTGCACGCTAGTGGCACTCCCACCTTGCTTGGCGCAATTTACTTAAAAAAAAAGGAAAAAAGAAAACTTACTTTGCACCTCTCAGGTCATAGCTACATTAGGACACATTTAAATACACTTGGAAACCTACCAATCTCTATTCACAACATACTCATAAAAAACACCAACATAATACACTTACAGGGAGATGCATGCATTGACCTACTAGGTTTGTAACATACTACACGTATATTGTAAGTGTAGCCATTTCCAATCTGGGGAGGATATTTTAGTAAACCTCATTTCAATTTCAAACATTTTCTTGAATTTCATTGGTTGTTAAATAAAAAATAAGCTTTGAGAAATTTCCATAATGAAACAGTCAAAATTTTGGCAAAAGTAGGCTCAACTGACATAAAAAAATATTTCTCAAATTCATCCCTAATTTAAATGTTTCAAGAAATCCTATTGGCTAAAAAATACAACATTTGTCCACACATTTCTCAGAAAAATTCGCAACAAGCTACCAAGCCCCGTTGAGCTGATTTCATTGTTAAAAACACTATAAATAGAAACAGCAAACAAATTTTTGTCACATATGAGACTAACACACGCGAAAGATACACACAAGAATTATGTGTCAAATTGCCACCAAAGAAACAAACTTTCTTTATGAGAGATTAGAAAAATTTACACAACAAACTTTTTCACTCAATATCTTTCATAGAAAAATCTTTTGTCTAAGTTAAATTCAACCTTTTTTAATCAAAGACAGACAACTTTTTAGACATTGAACATTTCTGAAACAGCAAAGAACTTTTTCTCTATAACTTTGCACACATCATTACAAACAA